ACCCATCTTCTTGTAGAAAAAGCCATTAATAATGAGGCCATGAAAGCAGGGAAGACAGTCTTATGAGCAGACTTGAATCTAATTCTGACTCTGATGTATCCTAGCCAGATTGGCAGGAGTGCTAGAAGCAGCAGCTTGAATCTATTGTCATTTTATCTCTCTTAAATGCTTTTTCTTTTTACGTAAGGCTGACTTCTTATGCATTTTGCTCCATCCTTTAGACTCTACCTTCAGGCTTGTCAGTACTGCAGGACTGTTTTGCTGGTTTGTATGGTAGGTGGGAATAATTGACTTGCACTTTGTCGTGACAGATTTACAGCACAGGAAGACCACTTGAAAGAATGTTTCAGACTATTTTCAAATAGAATTTTTCATGTGTTTGATCCAGAGGAGTCAGCATGTACATTCCTGGGGTCCCAGAGAATGGAATGGAAAGCAGGACAGACTCCTCTGTCTGAACTTTGAAGTTAAATAAGAACAAACTTTAATCATTACTGAAGACCTGTTCCAAACACATTTTGATGTCTAGTGTCTGATGTTTAAGTATGCTATAATAGGTAGGGAAGAATGCATGGGATTCACAGGGCTTGAACAGGGTACAGATTTTTAAATCAAAATTTAAGTCTGATAGCCATATATACATTTTTTGTTCAAAACTGCAAAGTTGTCTCCTATTGTTCACATTCTGTGCCTCACAGTCTATGCTGCAATGGTAAGTCATTATATGGATATTTTGGGATGCTACACCACAGAGAGGAAAACGAGCAAACTCTGTGTTTCTTAACTAAGAAATAAAAGTTACATTTTACTTGTATGTACCATTGGTGATACTATTAATTATGATTGTATTCACCTTGTTCTTTAACTGTTTCATTGTCATTTATAATTAGATGGCCCTTTAAGGCAAAGGCCGTGTCTGACAGGTCAATATCACATGCCTGTCACTTTTCATTTAAATAAAACATGTGGTCAGGTATGCTGTACTGTAGAAGACTGAAATATATGAAATTTGTGGGATCACATATGCAGAAAACCTGGCTATACAAACAGAGGTCAGTATTTCATTCTGCAGTCTACATTTCATTTTGCTATTGATTTAAGTTTGCTTCAGAGTTATTTTGCAACAGAGCAGATTTCATTCATTGAATACAATGAAACTAGGAACTAAAAGAAAGTTAAAAAATGCAAGTCGCCTTTGTATTTGGATTTCCCAAGCATTTCTCTCATGGCTTCATTCTGTCTCATATTTCATAGCACATTTCTGTGAGAAGTAAATGAATCACCCACATATATAAAAATGTTTCTTAACACAGATGGGTATGGATTTATACATAGAGAAATTTACACACACATATACAAAACACATAGGTATATAAAACATGGTCTCAGAATAAGAGTATGTGTGTGTACAGCTATACTGAATACTTCATGGTATGTTGTAGAACCCTTGGGTAAGTTTTTATGGATTTGATTTATTGGCTGACTGAGCTGATTCATTATTTGTATATGATTTTTTTGCTGCTGTGTGGCCATAATTTACAATTCTGGACCTAGTTAACTCTGTGGGTGCCTGGAGTTTTCTGTATGAACATCTCCAACTATTATTTAAAGAAATAAATGAAGCAGACTTGCTTGAATGAACAATTTACTCATGAGGAGCAAAATATGGTCGGGCAGGTCATAGAAAATAGCTTTCAGTAAGTCTTTTTAAGTCACTACAATATATTCTCTTAAGGTACGTACAATAATCCATACATGTTACGGGCAACTGAAGATCATCTGCGTATCTCTGATCCCAATCTTTTTCCCTTGTTAGAATTCAGTGCTGTTCTTGTATTCTTTCTACTTCCAAAGCCCTGATAGATTTGCTGGTAGGCATAGAACAGAACAAAATCCTGAAGAGGTGTGAAAAGTCGAAAAGTGCCTTGGCTTCTTTTCTGTATAAATGAAACATGACACTTATTTTCAGAATTGGTCTTAAACCTCTGGCAGTTAGCAGAGTGATTCTTTTCCCATGACACACAGTATCATCCAGAGTAGTGTAATAAAACTGTTGCTATATCTTGCTTCCTTGGAAGAAAGGTCTTCTCTTTGTATTCAATAGGGTAACAGCTCTTCTGGAGGTCTGGGGTGTGATGGTATACAGCCTGTCACTTTTTCAAACTGTTACAACATTTGCTACTATAGAGTCCAGCTGGTGTACTCTGGAGCAGGGGCAGAGATATGAAAAGAGCCAAAGGATTCAAATTAAGATGCTTTGATTAACTGTTAAGTATCCACAGACTATGAATAATTCTAATTTGCCCCCAAAGGTGATTTGGCTCTTTACTACTTGAAATACTGGATATAAACTTAGCAGTACTGGACTTACCAAATATGACAAAGAAATGCAACAGTGAATCTTTTATATATTCCTGCCAAATTTCGCGTGCATGTCTTTCATTGTGCACTTTAGTCTACAATCTGTAGGTATTTCTGTGACTTCCAGTTGAGAGAAAATGGGCAAACATTGCACATAGACAACATAAATTTGTTATAGCTCCAACTTTCGTTTGCCATGTCTTGTTAATAAGCAGACAGACTTGACCAATTGTAGGGAGGTGATGGGTACCTAATTGTTAAAAATTTAATGGAAAACTTTGGTAGTTACCCACCAGTGGAAGTTCACTTTCCTTAGCTGTCTATGACTGTTCCACTTACAGATGTGTATAATTCCACATCCACTCATGGTGCATTTTATTGTAGCTGTGTGACTCAGCACAATTCTATGTGGCATAACCGTCATTGTAACTACAGTTCTAAACTCTTCTTATGTTTTAAGAAAACCAACCAAACTACTAGTCAAAAGATTGAGAAAGGAAAATGCTTTGCAAATGCATTCAGAATTCCATCTTGGAAGCACAGCTTTCTTCAGTAGGCATGTAACATCATAGGAAGTCTGCCTCAATATCCATGAGGGCATGTCTCCTCTGCCTCTCCTTCCTTATCTCAGGCTCAAATAACTTGGAAAATAAGCAGCTTTTCATGATTTTTTTTTTAAAAGTTATTCATATGTTTCTGCTTTAATGCGTCTCTCCATCTGTGCTTTGAAGACAGTCTTGTGGTGATTCCTAGAAAAAATTCCTAGGATAGTTCTTGCTGGAGGTTACAATTTGTGCAAGATGCTCAGTCGTGTCATATTGTAATGGATTTGAATGGGATTTTCTGAAGTGATAAAATAACAGAGGAGCACAAATGCTACTAAATGTCAGTAGGACTTAGAAGACATGTATAAAATTCACTGCTTTCAGTTCACATGAATTTGAAATCATTAGATGACTTGGTAAATTCTTGTGATAGGTAAATACATTTCTTTGTTATATCCAGCGTCGTCAATATTTGTATATATGAAAGCTCTATATTTCTGCATATGTGTCAGGATATACAAATACCCCAAAATGCAGCAGAAAAATCTTTGTTAAATTGTTTTTTAAAATCCTTTATGTAGATTAATTGGAAAATAAATAGCTTTCTGTGTTTTAGGGAAATGTAAAACAGGAATGAATATAGATAGACTTTGAGTTGTATTTTACATTCTCTTCTCCTGCCTTTCAGTTCTGGTGGTCAGCAATCGAAAAATTCACATAGATCCTTGAAAAATGTGTGTTTTCAGGTCACCTTTATTTTTTCATTCTTCATGCCTCAAATCCCCATTGAAATTTCAGCATTACTAGATTTCTGGATGATAAAGGACTTATCTCTCTGTTCTCAAACGACGAGTGCCAAAGGCAACAGAATAAAATTTGTATGCAACACTATCTATGTTACATGTGCTTGTTCATTTATCTCAATAACTGACTGTCATCCTTGTGCATGTACATCTTACAGTGATAATAAGAGCCCAGCGCTGCTCAAGATGTCGAATTTTCCTGGATAGATTTCTAGCTGCAGGCAACTCAAGCTAAATACCTCATATTGAGAACACTTTCCTCGTCACTGACCACATTGGACCCTTTCATGTAGCTTCATATGTGACTTTTATTTATTGTCTATTTCCACCCATCCCTTGAACTGCAGTGGTTTTCATATGTGATTGTGCTCATAAGCGTATGTTCACTTTAAAAATGCAGTTAATGTAATTAAGTGACTTTTTTTGTACATTAAAGTAAACATGGTATGTATTCAGCTGTGACACAAATTTTGCTGCATTTGGATGAACTTTGAAGCCTTGAACTTGGTCAGTAATATAGGGGTATAAATACTTCTAAAGGAAGATCAGATATCTTCATATGCATGTAATATTTACTTTCATATAACATAATAAGATTTGGAGTGACAAAGGGTGAGTATGTTTTCTAATTTGGGGGTTAGTGGAATTCCATTATCTTCCTGAAACTGAATTCGAAATTAAAAGCAGAATGCTATTCATTTCCCAGTAAGAATTTAATTGATTCTTCTGCCCATCTGCTTATCAACCTTTAAAATTACTTATTTAAAGGTGAAGAACTAAGACTTTCCTTCACTTCCTTCAGAAATGAAAATCAAAACAAACACAAAATTCATGAATAATAATGAACACAACCAGCAGTATTATAGCGTACACATATTTCTTGTCAAGAAAAAGTAATTGCGACACTTGATGTGAAAATTAGATTTATGCCTAGTGCTAATTTTTACTGTCCACCTGATTGGATCAGTATATAGGAAGGAATTGTAGTCCTTCTGACCAACAAACATTAAACAGGCTGTTGAATGCTCAATATTACATTATGCAGAATGAAGGAAAGAGTAATAGGGATTCAAATGTGAGAGATTTTAAAATACTGATATGAAACTAAGAGGCAAACTTCCTGTACAAGAGAAGGGAATTAGGCTAATAGTATTTTTTTCCACTTTTTTATGTGATTTAGAATATCACTGATTGTTTTGTTTCATAATCTGTAGCAAAATCTTTCTCATGTTAATATTCTTAAATCATTAATTCATAGTGAAGTATTTTTATTATCTTTGATTTGTCCTAGATCAGAGGAGGGAAGCTCATGATCACATACACAAGAAAGAATGATGCTGGCAAATACGTTTGCGTTGGAACAAATATGGTTGGAGAACGTGAAAGTGAAGTTGCGGAGCTCACTGTTTTAGGTAAGAACTCCTCCTGTGTTCATGAAGATGTCCATCTTCTGTTTTTCCTAGTGAGCCTTTTCTTAAGGATCATTCTCATCTATTTCCTTTTCAGTGTTGAAAACACTGAAAATGTTTTTCACAGTTGTGTTCTAGCAAATAGGAGGCAGTTAATGGCTCTCTGCAGTCCACATGGGACTGTTTTTGCTATCAGAAGATGCTTTCCTAATTAGTTCTTGATCTGAAAATAATTCCAGTATCCACTGACTGGACCAGAATTGTAAAATAACAGCAAAACAAAAATTAATAATATTTAAAGCAGAGGCTTAATTTTTCCATCTTGCTTAAGAAAATCAGAATGATTCTGAATTTGTATTTTAAATAATTCGCCTTTCATTTATAGTTGTGTGTACTGAGTGTTGTAAAGCTACAACAGGTCTGCTTGTTCAAGTGATCCTAATGATAGTTCCTCTGAGCATCAAAAATTACATTTTCATTTAAGATAACTGAGCTTAGCTGAAAATTGCATTTTTGTTGATATTGCAGAAAGGAAGCTGTAACTCCAAGTGCAATCTCAGAGTTCCTTCAGCATAGGAGAACTCCCTTATGTTCACTATAGATGCAGCTTTGGTACTTTTCATTCAAAATGTCCCGTTTTACTTTAATGTACAGAGGCTTGAGACAGCTTCATTGTTTCTGCAAAAGAAACAAGGTTCATATAGTACACTGGTTTCGATCACAGTGGTGCTGCATTAGTAGTAGTCCTGGATCTTTTTTTTTGTTGTGGTTGGTTTTGTTTTTGTTTAATTCAGGCTTAAGATCTGTCTTGTCAGTCTTTGGCACTTTTATCCAATTTCACTTACTTTGTAGACTTAGCGCTCAGGCAACTTGAAGACCTGTTCTATGTTTGGGTTTCCATAATAAAATGAGTTTGTATAACATCTTAAAGTTGTTCAAACTGAATATAACAGCAAAACAATAGTAACTCTTTAGAAGCCAAGGAAGATTTTCTGTGATCCACTATCCTGATTTCGGGTTTTTTATAGAAACAGTTTTAAAGCATTTTGGGAGGAAGCTTATTGTCAAATAGACTTCTAGAACTTCCGAGCAAAATCTAAGATTGAAATAAAGTCATAGTTACATGAGTAAAGTCCTGGCACTAGGCTCTTAGCTAACTGTACCAGTTAGTAACTTATCACTAGTCTACTGCTAATCAGGGAGCCATGGTATGACTGTGGTAATCTAGGCTGAAAAAATATCACTCTTGCTGAACAGCTGTAAGAGGGATGCATTGCAGGCAGAGGTCTGTCTGGCTTCATCTCATTTTGCCTTCAAACGTATTCCTGATTTTCAGCCTGGGGAAACTAGTGAAGTTTTGTTTTCAAATGGGACAGTAAAGCTTTGAATGTCTTACTTGTCTGTGTCTAGAAATCTTTAATATACCTTATTCAACTCAGGCCTTGGATATGCGTGAAAAAGCATGAGAAGTATGCTGACTTCATATATTAATGTCTTTCAACATAAATCTTCTATTTATGGGGTTTGGTAATTTAGAGCTTGAACTTTTGCTTTTAGGTCTCTGCTTTAGATCAGAGGGAGGATTTCATGCCAGAAACTGTAATATTAGAAAGTTTCAAAGTGATCCTTGCTAAGCTTTCCTTGTATGTACCAAATAGTCGTGTGACAAAGATAGATACTTAAATCAGTGTTGATTTCCCTTATCCATTTCTGCGTTTGAATAAGAGTGTTATGAATGGGCAGACAAAAACTTGTGGAAGTCCATTACTCTTCCTTTAGGAAACTGATCTAAAGAACAATGTGCCTCTTGTGAGTTTTGTAGTTGGGCAGCAGTCCTGGACTTACCAGATCAGTCCTTTTTCTCTTGCAGAATTAAGTTGAATATTCCTCCCCAAACTATTCTTATGCTGAGGTTTAATCCGGAATGTTCTTTTCTCCCATTCAGGTTTCATTTTTGCTGTACCTACGAGAGAGAGGCCAGGCAAGGGGGGATTGTCTGTATTTATATAGTTTTAATTCACAACTAGATTCACATCTGTAGATCTCTGTTTTATTTCTCACTATTTGTATATAAGCCTGGGCTAGAACTGACAGCTTAAAGATCAACTTGCTGTTTCATCTAATGTTATTTCCTATCATTGCCAGCAAAGTTAAGTTTTCTGCAACAGAAGTGTTCATCTGGTCTGAACATCCTTGAGAATAAAGGAAGATTTTTTTAATAGGGTTTTGTTCAGTTTAGATTTTCACTTCAGTCTTTTTTGAACCATTCATAATTTCTTTGTAATACTGAATATATCTTTATTTTGCTAAGTCAAAATAATATTTAGAGCTGCATTTTTTAACCACAAATGTAAGACGTGAAGAATATGGGATTGTCACTTTATCCCTCTGTCTGGTGCTTTTCTACTTTAAGGAGAAATTTGTGGCATATTTTTGGGTATTCACACTTCCTGATGGTGCCAGTGGCTTCAGACTCTTCCAGTCCAGGGGATGATGTTTCTATCTTTAATATGTGCAACTCAAAACATGCGACTGCCTTCTCAGCTCCCTCAGCTTTCACAGGTTTATAGGCAAAAAGGTCATCTGCCTTAGGCAAAGGAACCTGCCAAGCACTCTCCTGTTAAACCTACCCAGTTCTTTTATGGCCATGCTGTTGTCATCTGCTACTGCTTTTCTGGATGGGTAATCATTCTTGGAGTATCCCAGAAATTGCTTAAAACAGTTTTCCTTGTGAGTGTGAAAAACTCTCTGCACTGCAGCCTGGAGTAGAACTATGCAACTATGAATAGCCCAGCACCATAAAACTTTGAACCCTGTTACAGGTAGAAAAGTGTGTTGATACCTTTCCTGAAACTTGCAGCTAAGTATCTGGGTTGCCAGAATAGCACAGCCTATACCGAGATCCCGCTTTGTTTCTGAAAGCCTGAGGATAAGTATGCAGCAAGTAATAAAACTCTGGGGAGGCAGGACTTGGGTCATCCATGTCCTACAAGATAAGTCAGGGATAACACCAGTTTTTATGAGCAAAAATTACAGAGCAGTCTTTCTGGCGGGTTTTTTGGCTTGTTTTAATTTATATGTGCTAGTGAAAGAAAATGTTGACCTTCTAATGTAGCATAGGAAATTACTGTGTTGAACACTGGCTGCAGCTGACACCTGCAAGCAGCCTCATAGAGATACTGTGCTGGGCCTTAATTAGCCTTCAAATTTAGAGCCAAAACCTCCAGTGAAACGTCTGGTTGGTGCCTTCTGTCTGATTGAAGCAGTGCAGCATAGGAGTGATTGTCAGGGTCCTTGAAGTAGGCCGACTTCTATCTGAGGATGCATAGTATTTAGATTTTTTTGTTTAGATTGTGTTTTCCTTTAGCTGTATTAAATGCAATGATGATAGATAAGAAGTAAGAAAGTCCATGCTTGGATCCTGAGCCAGTTGAGAGTGTCTGCCTCCTGGGTTGAGGCTCGCAGTAATGGTCACTTTGAGGGCTACGGATCTTCTGCCTGGGACGCTGAGTGAGAGGAGCAGCAGCAGAGGCACTTCTGTCAGATTTGTCACTCTACTCCCCTTGTTCTAACAGCCCGAGTTCAGGGAATATCACAAGTAAAACACAGAACTGCTGGACTAATCCTTTTTTTTCCTTTCCCTTTAGAGAGACCATCTTTTGTGAAGAGACCAAGTAATTTGGCTGTAACTGTGGATGACAGTGCAGAGTTTAAGTGTGAAGCAAGAGGTGACCCAGTCCCTACAGTAAGATGGAGGAAAGATGATGGAGAATTACCAAAAGCAAGGTGTAGTACATGCAGTTATCTTTTTTATGACATCTAGCTTGGTATATGATGGTGCCATTCAACATTAGACAGCTAGCATTTCTTTTTCTTGAATAGAAAAGGCCTGGCTTGATCTAGTAAGTCATTTCTAGTTACCATTGCACTCTACTTGAAGTTACCATTTATGCTAAATCTTAAGAACAACCCATTTTCATGTTTTGTTGTGACAAGACAAATATAACAAGAAATAAACAAGTTCAGTCAGTAATATCAGATACAGATTTATTTTTCAGCTGTGTAGTCTTTTGTGATTACTAGAAGTTGCGGGGCATGTATAACAAATAGTAACATAGATTACAATATAAAGAATTATGTATTGGAATGGCAGTTGATATAAAATGTAGTCTAGTAATGTAGAAAGATGCCCTGGTTAAACATGTTTTTTTTACTAAGTTTTCAATTGTCTTATTTTTCTGTCATTGCTCTTAATTCAGGCCAAAAAGTAAGCCACCTTATTAAAAAGAAACACATGCTGTGAGTGATAGATAGAGAAATCTATTAATTATTTATTTACTTACTTTGAAATCCTAATGATCAATTTAAAAAACTATTAAGGGAGTGGACTGAAAGAAGAAACTCAATAGTTGCCTTTGGCCATTCAAATCCAGCTTCCTGTCAATCTAGTCTATAGCTTTAATAAAAACTCTGTCATTTTAAAGAGAAAAATCTACTTACCATAAAGAGAAACACATTGACTGCATTATGCAAGGAAGATAAAAAGATGATGGAAGGAGAGAAAGTGGTAAAAAGACACATTTATTTTTTTTAAATAAAAATTGAATGAATTGTGATTTATCTTGACTTTCAAGCAATTCTGATTTTTTTTGAGAACAATATTTTCTTTTGAACCATATTAGGAAAATCTTTCAGATGGAAAAATTGTAGGGACAATTATATCTGTATTGTATTTACTTGTTAAAAGAGGTCTGACAGTTAAAATATTCTGCATTAGGGCTTTGTGATTGCATTGTGCTGGTGAAATTCTGCTCATGGCAGTTTATTCACATTGCAAATAATACCAGAATAAGGTTTTCAAATATTCATATGTATTTTGTTTCTAAAGTTTTATTTTTGCATCATCAATTTATAAGTACTTATATTTTTTTCTTTATGGGAAGTTTAGGAATAAGAATATTTGAGAGCAAACCCACCATATTTTTACCCTTTACAGAAATTCTGCAAAGTTCCATTATTCCTATTCATTGTGTATTTCTATGTATATTTAAAGATATGAAATCCGTGATGATCATACGTTGAAAATCCGGAAAGTTATGGCAGGAGACATGGGATCATATACTTGTGTTGCAGAAAATATGGTTGGAAAAGCTGAAGCATCAGCAACTTTAACAGTTCAAGGTAAGAACATTTCTTTGCAAAGTGCTAGAATAAAGTAGCTTATTTTTTGCACAGCAACTTTATAGAGTTGCTGAACGCAAACTACTTGAGTCTATACACAACTGGTAGAGTTGCAACTTATGCAGAACTCTATGCTGTGTTGTAAAAAAAAAAGTTAAAGTACAAATTTGGCTTGAGTTGTATTTTGAGGGAATGGAAACACTTCACATGGAAGATTTTTTTGTAAGCAGTCTTTACGGTACTGGGAAGGGGATCTGAATATGTTTGAACTTCAGTTCTTCAAGTTCAGAATCATGTCACTTTGAATCTTTGTAGCTGAAACCCTAACAGAAAGAAGAAAGTCAGTGTTACGAACTGCATTGTTTTAACTCAGAGAGTTAGAAATTCAAGCATCTGCCAGATTTTTTCAATTAAATATAGTAAAGAAGCAGTGAATGATAAATCTGTTTGTATATCTTTTAATACACTAACCCAGACCACTGGAATTCCTGTTGCTTTTTCATTGTAAAAGCGTATCGTAGCACTACTGTTTCTTTGTAAGATAAAAATTCAGTGGAACTTAGTGAACTAATATGTATAAAAATCCTTCATTGCCTTTATATACACAATCCAGATGTTCACTATTCAGATAATCCCCCTCTTCCTTTCCTGGCTAGCAGACAGGCAATGATGTCATCCTGATGCTTTTTTCTAGGCTCTGATGGTCCTTCTGTCCTTTTCCTGTTCAGTGGGAATTAGTCATTATGGAGTTCTGGGGAAGTATAGGCTTAAAAGTATTTTAGTTGGTAACAGGCTTCTATTTTGACACATTTACTGTAACAGAAAAGGTCTTGTCCTTATCCTGCTCTCCTTTTTCCAGCAGAAACATTTGGTGTCCCTCTGTTAGGAAAATAGGAATTCTTTTGTTGAAGGTCTCATAAAACTAAGAATTTTGAGATGTTCTGTTTCATTCATCACCATGATGTTTATACATCAGAACTGATACCTTATGTTTGTAAAATCACCGTCTCTTATGCTCAGTGTTGTAAAATAAAAGATGAACATGTGAGCAGTTAGCACAGTTTATTCAAAAGAAAAAGACTGAATTATTTTTTAAATGGCAGTGTGTTCTGGAGATTGAGTCTTATATCAATTGTTAATCTTGTAAAATTTAGTATTAAGAAAATTTGCTTTAGGACTGGCGAAGCAATTAAATTTCTGGAAAAAGCTATTGGTAGTTCAAATCCTTTGTAGCCCTATTCAAGATAATAAACGAACGTTAGTGTAATCCCATTTAGGTTAAGGGTGCTAATGCATATAAAATTACTTATGTGTGTAGATGTTAGAAATTGACTGTGATCTTTTTGATAATAAACTAGTACTTTTAAGGAATATCATCATAACCTAAGTCTTGATTCAGCA